TAATTGTTGGGATCGTGCCACAAATTGGTCATAGATAGGTTCTTGCTATATATACAGCAGATTTGAAACTGAACAACAAAGATCAATAAAAACAGTCGTGTACTATATATAAAAACGAGCAGCAGTGTTTATTCAAATGTAGCAGTTATTAATAAAACACATGGTTCGAATTTTTATATGCCATTAAAAACCTCCAACACTAATAAAACCAAACATTTTAATTAAAACTATCGAAAATGTACAAAAACTGAAAGTTATGAAAACTGCCTTAGGCCTTTCTGATTATCATGCGCATAATTTCTCATGTATGTACTGAGGATTTACGTTTCACTTTTGACAATTTTTTAAAGTTCAGGGGAAATATCCTTTCTTGATTTTATATACAAGTTCATTTCCTTGGTCCGTTCTGATCACATGGTTGAACTCATGAATCATTAATGACTTTCGAAGACTTTAGTATTAACTCTCCTGTCCTCACACCGTTCATTTTATTTCTTTGGACTAACCACATGCGCTTCTTGAGCGCCTTTAATTTCGATTGAGACCACTTAATAGATCACGTGGCTATTTCCCGCCAAATCAGATGGCATTTTTCGGAATGTTAACCATTCTATGCTATGCCTTATTCTCAAGTTACGAGTAGCTTTAGCCATTTTACAGAAAGATTTTTATTTGAAAACTCAAAACTTTACTCTTTGTTCGATGCTGCTGCTACTGACGGCGGTTGTTGCTGTTGCTGTTGCTGTTGCTGTTGCTGTTGCTGTTGCTGTTGCTGTTGCTGTTAAATAACATATTTGCTTTATTATTTTCTTACAGGAGATCTGCATCATCGCAACCATTCTTTTATTAGTAGTTATATTCTTCAGCCTCCTTGGCTTTATAGCATGGCTCTCTTATATGGTATGCATCTAATCGTTTGATATTTCAGCTTTATTTAATCATCTTTCTTCATTTTACCACTGTTTTCATTTATATATGCATGGGTAGCAAGCAAGGCGTGGCGGTATATCCGTAAAATCACGCTTTTAGACTATAATTATATATTTTTTGCTGCCTTATTCTCATCTGGTTAAATTACTGGTCCATCCTTTTGCCATCATTTTAGATGGTGAACTATTGGTGGAGATATCTTGGAATTAAAACTATTCTGAGCTTAACGACGATCATAGCAATTCTGTATCTTCTCGTCCGTTTTTATGAGGTAAGCAGTTCTTACTCAAGGTATCGACCTCAGTTCACTTATTTCAGTTAGAACTTTCTTGCTCGCCCGACCCACAATCCTCAAGTGGGATCATCACCAGGTGTGTCGATCGAGGAACACTGGCTGGCGCGGACGTCTATACCGACATTGCCTCCCCTCCTAGTATAGACATTTGCAAATGTGTTTGATAATGGATATGTCTCTATGAAGTGGAAGACGGGATGACTTTGAAAAACTTCATTAAAAACATTCTTGGAGGTATTGCGCAGTCATACGATTCTTGCGCGATGCCTTGTGCGTTGCGATAACGCCAAAAGGTGTTGTTTGAGCAAATTGTTCATGATTGTACGGACGTGCTGCGTGCTGTGCCGTGCCGTGCCGTGCCGCAAAGTAGGCGGTACCCTGCCTGAAGCACTTTATTATATAACAATGATCTAGCACGCTGTGATTGGTTCAATGTATATGGTCAATTCTTTTCCGTGTCCGTGCCGTGCGCATTAATTTTTACATAACCACTCTTAATGATCATTTTGCGTAATACTGCTATATCATGCCTTGTTGGTTTTCTGAATATATCGGTCGTTATTTTTCAGCGTCTTGTTAGAGAGTACAGAGCTGAAAGGCTACAAAGGTTCAGAATATGGCGTACGTTTTATATGGAACTAAGAAACGAAGCTTACCTGAGAGGCGCAAGGCGCAGGAGGCAACAAGCTGAAAGAGCACTTGAAATACGTCGAGAAAATAACAGAGAATTCAAACAAAGAATGGAGCGGTTGGTGGAGGGAGGGAAAGCGCTTGATGCGAAAAGGGAACAATGTATTAAAGAATATAAACAGGCCTTAAAAACAAGAGAAGACTTGCAGAAGAAAATGACCGAGAAAGAAAATGAAGATTCGACAAGCTCCAAAAAGATCGAAGCACCAAAAGGCCTGCTTCCATTGATGGATGAACGTAAAGAAAAAATGGAAAAGATTATACAACGAAGAGACGACGAGAAAAAAAAGAGTTTACAAGAAAAAAAGGAACAGAATTCAGCTAATCATAAAGTGAAAACCCTCAATCTGCCGTCCATTCGAGCGACATTGCTTTCTTTCATCGATGGGGTTAAACGAATGGAGCAAACTTACAAAAGCTATACGGGACCAAAGATGTATTATATGCTTTATAATATAGACTATGCTATAACTAACGTGTTATTTACCATGAAAGAGCTCTTGAATGTAGGTCCTTCACAACCCAAGACCAACCGAAACGACCATAAAACTCTAGGTAAGATTGAGAGGTTTTTGGTAATGACTTATGGTATAAGGGATAGAACAATTTTTTTATAAGTCTGAGTTCTAAACATAAAGAACGTACCTTGAATTTGCCACATCGTTCCCCACTCATACGAAAACTGCTCTTTATATATGAAGGTGATTCCATTTGACATAGACATTAATACTCTACGTACTCCAATAAATAAGCTTAGTTGGTAAGCCCTGACTCCCTTTTTTCCAAGGAATGTGTAAATCTGCCACGAACTTGTTGAATAAAGAATCGCAATCTAAAAAGCAACAAGACAAGCGGTCTTCGTCCACGGACATTCACTATGTTGAGGAAGAGATTGATCATCTACTGTGCACTGCTCATTCGAAGATTCTCCTTGTGAGGGACAGAGTTTTGCAAGGTGTCATCAATTTTGACAAGGAGTCGTCCAGCACCATAGCAACGCCTGATATGATGAGAACGACCAATAAAATAGCACAGCTAGACGTCCAGCAAATACAAAACTGTTTTAAACAGGTAGGCGAGTCCAAGCCATATTTGGGATCGATTATTTGAGATTCGGATGGCGGGAACCCTGTGAATTAATTAACCAGGGATGAGCTAAGAAAGACTGGGAAGTGAGAAAAAATAAGTCGGACAAGGGAAAGAAAGATATATGAAAACTAAGAAAAATTGAGTTAAACTCCTTTTTATTTCTCTTCTATTCATCCTCATGGCTTACCACAATTTTCTTTCTTCGAAATCTTTCCCGACCCAGAAAAAAAAAATTCTCACTGTTTAATTTTCAGGAGGACATCATGGAAGCTTTTAAGGATCTACGTGACGTAATTCTACCAAAATTTAGAAAATGCATCACAAAGAGGTAAGTAATTAATATAAATGGCAACTTCTGCTAAAATCTTGGTATGCGAAACCATTTCCAAAAGAATGTGGCTTCTATGATCAATAGCCGGATATTGAAACTTACAACTTTAGAGAAAAAGACTTGGCAGCCATGTTGTTTTCATCGAGTAAGCATTTTTGTTCGACGTTCCGGTTAAAAATTACTTGGTAACTGATCAACTGTCTTCAGGTGAATGAATAAAGCCACGGTAAAGTTCGAGGTATCTGTACATCTTTATATGTTCAACTTTGGGTTTTTGTTAAGATGATTTTATCGTTTTCATTTCTTATGATAATCCTTATATGGAGTATTTGCGCATGCGTACCATTTTTTTTCCTATATAGTTTTGCACTGATCTATCAAATGGATCCTAAAAATGATTCCTATCAAAAGTTGTTGGAGGATAATAAATTGAGAACTCCATTTAAATTTTTACCTCCATCGAGTTTGAGTAAACAAACGTCACGGCCAGTTTATCAAAAATCATCCCACATGGAAAAGAGTGACCACGGAGTTTAGTCAGCAGTAGAGAGAAATCATTTAGCAGGTCTGCTGGTCATAGCAAGGGGTTAATCATATATGGTCTAGGGGCCGACTAACCTCTCCCTTAGGCTTCGGCCGAGCTTCCTGATCAGWCTGTAATTCCTCCCGGGATAGCGGTGTCGGGGTCGAAATCTCTGGCGTAGCCGTAAATGCTTCGCGCTACCATACGACGCTTCAGCATTCTGGTCTGGGAGTATGGTCTCCGGTTATTTTTGATAAATAATTAATAATAATCCTTTTTAAAAAAACAATTTTTATAGCACATTAACTCTCAAATAGATTAATTGATAAAGAGCCCGGAACACAGGATGTTCTCCGGTTACTTAATAAGAATTAAAGAATAAGAAATAACGAAAGGCAATGATCGCAATCTTGTAATTGGATGTTATTACAAAAGAAAGCAAATTTCGTTTGCAAGACTTCTGCAATACCTCTTCGCTGGCGGATATCGCTATCATTCTTCCAACATGGCGACCATGAAATCATTTCATTTTATCATTTCATTGTTAAGTCATAAAACATCAGCAGATTTTGGTGTTTAGTCTTTTCTTTACTAAAAACCAGCTTTATCTTTTTGATAGAATGGAAGCTGATAAGTTGAATAGCATAAATATGGATCGCTCGGAGAGGTAAGGCGCGCATATTAAAAAACACTTCAAATCTTCACATCTCTTTATCGCTACCTCGTCTTTTCGTGCTATTAATCTATAGGTGGACGTACTATGACGAACATAATGTAATTTGTTATCAATGTTTGAATAACATATAAGAAATTCATTAGACAATCTAACAAAGCAATTTGACAAAAACAATTGTCGAAATGGTTGGTACAATGATGGGCAACATCAACGTCCATCTTTAGCGGTACGTTTCATAGGAGTGGAAAATGCTAATAAGGAAAATCCGTGTCAAAACTGTGCGATGAGAATTGTGAATTGTGAATGAATTGTTGGAAGACATGGGAAGTCATTTCAATGTTACGCCATGTTGTACAGTGTACGTGATGTAAGTCAGAACCGTATGTTTCCCACTCATTCGAAAACTGCATGCAGTTCCTAACTAACAATTATTAGAAGACAATCTTTGTATTCTTTATACACTTTCTCATATTTTATTTATACAATTATAGGCGATTTGATGAAAGAACGACCAAAGTTCACCAGCGCCAGTCCTTAACCCATCTGGAAGTAGGGAATGGTTACGTGGGAAAGATTTTTGTTGAAAAATCTTTGAAAGAAAAAGATTCAATAGAGAGAACACCAAGTCTATGGTCTTACGTTCAAAGTGACGAACCAAAGGTTGGTCGTCAATATTGTATAGTCTGTATCCCACATGGCATATAATAATGATCTTTTGCAGGTTTCCGAAACCAGCCGGTGCTCCCGCGAACTCACACGCTTGTTTTAAGTTTCTCTGACTAACCCGCGCAGCCATAGAAGTACGTACCCCTTGCACTAAATCCCCTTTTGGGGTCAAAACAAAAGAATCTCTTCTTTTGGGGATTGAAGTAGGAGTTTTGATCAGTGTTAAAACCTTAAAAGATGAACGATTTTTTAAAAAATTAAAAATACTTTTCCTATTAGAAGCGGAGGAAGTCAAGGTGGCTGGAGAGTTTTCGAAGATCGAACAAGGACAATGGTGCCACGTATCTGGCTGTTGGTGGGGCTGCAGTGGTCATTACAACATCATATCTGGTGTATAGGTATATACGATAATCTACTACCACACATACACAACAGGACAACAGGTGCAACGTATCTGGCTGTTGGTGGGGCAGCAGTGGTCATTACAGCATCATATCTTGTGTATAGGTATATACGATAATCTACTACCCCACATACACAACAGGACTACAGGTGCAATAGGCGCAGAAGAGGTCATTACAGCATCATATCTGGTGTATAGGTATATACGATAATCTACTACCCCACATACACAACAGGACTACAGGTGCAACAGGCGCAGAAGAGGTCATTACCGCATCGTATCTCGAGTATAGGTACGTATATACGATAACCTACTACCCCACACTCGATTTTGAACTTGAATCCTTTTCCCAAGGGCACTAGGACACCTAAAGTCGTAAAATATACATGAAAAATTGAGTGCTTGAAAACGTAACTCTTCCACTTCAAGTCGTGACCCAGGTATACAAACCTGTTGATTGAAATTATTCATTCCTTGGCATTTCAATTTCTTAAAATAATCACTGAATCAATGAAAACCAATGAAAGTGAATCTACCACTATCGAGCAATCAAAAGTGACATGACGCAGCACTGATGCACCACCGTCGTCATGGTCACAGCACGAGGCGGCGGTTCTTGGAGTAATTTAAGTAATGTGATCTAAGTCTTCTCTATAGAGGCTTTGCACCATCACGTGCCGGTGCCCATAATACAGCTTGGACTGCCTGTGATTACATGCAGAACGATAAGACTCCTTTCTTTCTCTCGGAATTGAATTCTTTCTCATGTAAAACGATTGTATTGTTCCTGCCATCTAACATGGCTGCCGTCACGTGATGGTGCAAAGCCTCTGTTATGCAGTATTTACAACAAACACGCGATTCTTTGAGTTCCGATTTCTGGAGTAGAAAAATATGATAATCAATGAAAGCAGGCACCAATGATAATGCTATTGTTTATTGTAGTAATATAATGAAATCGCGAAACTCGTTCTTTTTACAATATTGTGCGGCAATCGGATTATGGAAAATGTACTGGACGTGGATCGATAAGAATGTCCATGAATGGAAATTAGATTTTTGTGGAAATAAACTGACTTTCCAGCTGATCTGGGAAAAAAGTGTTAGCCAATCAGAATCGAGAAAATTTGCAATGAAAACTGAGGTGTCACTTTTCCTCTTGAAAGTTATGGATTTCCAGGCCACCAAATGAAAAAATATATAACGTTCCTAATAAGAGGTTGATAACAGTACCACAATAACTAATGAGTTTTATATTCTTATTGCAATGGTGGAAAAGTGTTTATATTTTCGCTGGTCAGTTTTCTCAGGCTTCAACATGGCACACGGTTTTGCAAGTGACATCAATTTCTACGTCACTATTTCAGATCAGCTGGTTAAATCGGTCTGACATTAACACCAGTCAAATTTATATTCTACACGCATAACCACTCACTCATCCAAAAATGCATTTATTTATTAGATTATTCGTAGATGTTTGTTAAATCATTCGTTTGGTTAATATTATTTATAATCACATAGTCCAGGTAAGCAACCGCCTTGGCTGTTGTGCATCGTTTTATCATCGAAGTGTAGGGGAGAAATGAATTGCGTCTCTAACGAAAATAATAATAAAAAAAAAAGTAACCTTAATTAATGTCGTGTGAAGGAAGAGTAACCATTCTTCTGGGACATCTTAATTCAAAATGAAACAAAGTGTTTATTTGTCCGCCTTCTCTTTAGTCGTTCTGCAATTGCCCTTTTCTTCTTTTCATTCTCTTTGGAATTTCTAGTGCGTAATAATAGACAGATGATGCACTATGTTCATTTTTCTTCACGCAAACGGTGAAAATATTACCAAGTTTTCAATTTCCCTGCTTCACCTTACCCGTTCTCACCAAAGTTTCGATTCTTTTTTACTAATTCTGAAAATTTTTGTTTTCTTGTCAACCGACGTTTGATGCTTGCCGTGACGAGCTCCTTAAACTCTCTAATTATCCTATTTTTTTCAACATCAGCTAGCAGTGTGGTTGTAGCATAGCTTGTACAACCCTTCCATTCGATCACTTTATACCAGCGTCCCTCTCTTAATTTATTTAGCATATGATATATGGATATACTGATGATTTGCGGTATTCGTCTAATGTTTTGTGCCATTTTTGCCATATGTCACGCCATATGTCACGCCATATGTCACGAATTATCCTTACCAACTCATTTCACGGCAGTAGATATGACTTTTTTTGACTTTGTAATTGATCGGCAGGATATCTGGTCAGATTACGAGGATGTCTTTCGCATGCCATGTCAGTCAGCTTGCATGCTTTTTCTTATCACCTGAATACCACAACGTCCACAAACGCATTCATTATATTTTCTCTGGATCAGTTATCAGGTTTGCATTATTAAGAGACTGTTCTTCCAATGCTATGTCTTGTTGATCACTAGAGCTAGTTTTCTGATAGTTACTTGAGAGTGACACATTTTCATCTGTCATTTGCTCCACCCAGGTAAGATTTCCTTTTGTCCTGTTCTCCATGGTAGTATGACTGCTGTACATCGACATCGGCCGTCTTCGCAACGACCTGAAACATCTTTTAAACTCGGCGCGAATGTCTTTTTTCCACAGCGCGTAAACAATAGGGTTGACACAACTGTTGAACAATAGTAGCAGCCTTGACGTTGTGGTGACCTCGGAGGGCACGCTACCTTGATGGAAGAAGTTTTCAAAAGTACGGTATGCAGACATGATCCAACAAAACACAAACATCATGTAAACCACTCCAAATACTTTGATGGTATTTTTGGCCTCGACGGAATAACTATTGCTAGACCCATTAGCTGACACAGACTGTTCTAATATTTGGATACGTTTAGCTTGCTCGAGTGCCATGCTCAGAATGCAGGCATACGCGATGAACATCACTAGACAAGGAACACACATGAACATGATGATTTGTGTTAGATAGAATATCTTATCCGCAGTTTGTCTTAGAGGAATGTCATCACTGTATCCATAAGTCCAAATCAGAGGAATGCAGAAAATGACCGTAGGAATGACCCAGCTGGCAATAATCATCTTGACAACGACAGAATAAGTTATAGTTGAGTGATACTTTAGAGGTTGCATGACTGCAATAAACCGGTCCAACGTCAAACAACATAAGTTGCACAACGATATAAAGATGAAGATATCATATAGAATCTTCATGAGGATTTCGTCACACTGATGCCGAAAGCAAGCTGTTCTTGATGGAATGATAGCCAAGGCAACAGCCAGGTCTGACACGGCTAAAGACAGGACCAACCAATTTGTATTGGTGTGAAGACGTCTCTTCATGGCAACAAGATAAACAACGAAACCATTACCAAGCAAAGTGAGAATCTCAAAGACCATTAAGATAATGATTAACATGAGTAATTTCATGGGTATCGAGGACGAAGACGCCATGCCTGTACCATTTGATGGCGATGAAATATTTTGGTCACTTTCCATCATTAGCTCCGACGCCTTTCGTGTCACTTTTCAAGCCAAAACTTTGCTCTTCCGCCTTTAAATATGTGGTGAAAAAAATAAAGAAAACGTCTGCCTTTGTTTGTGATCGTCCAAGATCATTCAAAGTAGTACTGATATTAAAGATCCTACTATTTAGGCAGTAATGTTTTTTTTCTTGGGCGCTGTTAAGTTGTCCTGTTTTTCAGATATACTCACTAAGCGTCTGGTACGAAAACTCTGCTTTCTAAACCAATGTTGACAAACTTGGATTAACTTCCAGTTGTTTTGATTTGGCCAAGTACGAGTTGTTGTTTACAGCTCTATATTCTTTAGTTTCTTTACATGCGAGTAGATGAACTAAGGCAGAACCGCAGCTCAGTGACTAGTGTTACTCGAGAATCCCGGTGGAGTAAAATAAGACTGAAGCAACAGCTGCAGAAGCTCAAAATAAAAGCGTTCTTGATTAATAATCAATTTAAGTCTAAAATCCACCCGCTGCTAGTGTTTGAAGTTGTTCAACATATCATTAAAATATAACTATTTTCAGCTATTCAGGCTTCCAGCGTGAGACGTCCAACTGTCCACGAATCAGCTTATTAAATCGATTGTGTCTCAAGAGAACATTCGAGGCAGGCAGCTGAGTCTTAGAGATTTGGTTCAAGTTGATTAAGCGAGGCAAACAAAGCAGTTTGTGGGTGAATAACCAATGTATACTATTCTAAGTATTGTGAAGATATATTGTTCATTCATTTTAAATGGAGCAGCAGGACGTCCAATCAAATCATGGCACAAGTGGCAACACCTAGAAATGTTTTGATTGGAAAATAGGAAGCAACAATTTGCTTGTTTCTGTTTTACGTCTTGCTAGAAATTTGCTAGCTCAGTAGCTCCCAAACTAGTTTTTTTCGTTCACGGACGATTCTTTAACCTTGGAAAAGGCCAGTACACCCCACGGCCGCACACAATTGCATTACATTCTTACTAATCTTCTTTATTTGAACAATGCAGTATTTTTGGCAATAGTTTGCATTTTCAAAAGTCGAGTCACATGCAGGTTTTCCACTGTTGGAGGTATTTTTCACACACTTCATCTCGTTTAGTAAGACGTACAATCTCCTCACTCGTAATATCTATATATTAAAATTCATTTTCAATTTGTCTTAGGGTCCTACGGTTAAGATAGATTCAATTATGATTGGCCAAATGAACCGCTCGCGGAAATCATCCAAATTCGTTGCTATCTTATCAAATGCAACTTTGATTTGAAAATAAAAAATTCATTGTCTTGAAGATTTAATCGTTTCAATCCAAACCTTATCGGTTGCTGAAAATATCGCATTTTTTGAATTATGATTTTTCTCTGTTTTTAGAAAAGAATTTTATATCTATTAAAACAATGACTAGTTCAAGGAAACCCCAATCTGTTTTTCTTTCACTTAAATCTCGAATAAACTAAATTCTGTCTCATCCCCCACAACTAGTTACTATATAAAAATGCAACGTAAAATATATTGCTTAACGTAAAATTTCGTTAGCATGCTAGCATAACAAAATAGCGAGAGAAAAACAAACTAAAATACGGTCTGCGGGTAGGCCTACGCTTGAAGGCTTTCCTATAGGATTCCGTTCATATGTAACATATCCGAATATTTATAAACAACTGCTTAAAGCGGAAAGCATAGCTTTGTTTTCGAGGCTAGTATTATACTATTGTGAAGATTTCTCACGAAAACGTTTTTAGTTTGGTATAAAATATGTTTTAGCCGGAAAACAAATATATGAAAAAAGTAAAGCAAAAGGCTTTTCTATATCACAGTCGAAATACTGCTAAAGTTACAACATTTATTTTTGCCTCCTTTGGTCAACTGTGTACGATAAATATTTTTGGATAAATTCTATTTTTATCCATATGAATTTGAATAAATAAAAAATTTGTCTCCTGCTGCAAAAAAATCATTCAACTTGACATTTTTTTACCATAATAAATGTGTGAAAATAAGTAAAACTTACAGAAATCAATACGTACTAAATGAGGATGTATATATTGAACTAATAGTAATAAAGATGAGACAAGACAGTCTGTCTAGAGAGCAAAAAGCTAGAGCATTTTTAACTTCTATAAAACTGCGAGTTCTCTGAGACCATCTGATCGCATTAGGCAGCGTTGAAAAGGAAACCTAGAACTGGTACAATATGAGAGTAAACATCTCTTTATCCGTTCTGTACTTTCATCAATTATTAATCAAACAATGTTTTTATTCTTAATATTCGTTCTATATATTTCTTTCTTTTTATCTTACTATCAACTCTCTTCAGTTTTTACTACGTTTCGTTAGAGTAAATATCCCATATCTATCTATATATTGTTTTCATTTGTTTTGCAATATTGCTTTGAACCCCTGGACAAACTCACACCAATTTTTCATATTATATCAGTCCATTTTTTTCTACGAAAGAATCAACAATATGCTAGAATAGAATCAAATATAAGCCAAATAAAAATATTTTTAGCAATTGTAAATGTTTTATAAGTGGTAACTTTGAATTGACGTTTGCTGTCAGACTACGGTGTGTATATGTCATTGGGCTAGCTACACTCGCACGATTGTAAATGTTTTATAAGTGGTAACTTTGATTTGACGTTTGCTGTCAGACTACGATGTGTATATGTCATTGGGCTAGCTGCACTTGCACGATTGTAATGTTTTATAAGTGGTGACTTTGATTTGACGTTTGCTGTAAGACTACTGTGTGTATATGTCATTGAGCTAGCTGCACTTGCACGATAGATTGATAGACTGCTACGTCTATTTAATCTAATTTCTGGCATGAGCAACAATCTGAGACAACACAGAGATGATACTTTGTGTTATAAGTCCATCAGCATATTCCATTTTCACGCTTCCCCCTCCCCTTCCGCCCACGCGTTGAATGTTGATTCCATTCTCCAAAATTGCGTGGCGACTTCACTGATGGAATGAACATTGAGGGTTGTAATATAGGTGGGAGGGATATGAAATCCTACGTTCATGCGTGCGTCATTAACCTATCGAATTGTTTCAATAAATTGAGAGCTACGCTGGTTGCGGTAATGTAACGTGGAGAGCGAGAGATAGAGGAGATAAGAGGAAATCATTTAATTTTAATATATTAAAAAACCTATCTTTATAAAGAGTCTCGTTATAACAATTTTGACATAATCATTTTGGGCTTCCTGTGTACATTTTGCTGGCTCATGAATAAGGTCAGCGGTACGATCCTTCATCTTCTTTTTCCAAGATGGAGGCCGGTAAGTAGTTTTGGATTTTCAATCTCTTTTCTCGAACCTTAAAACACCTTAAACAGCTAAAATTTAAGTGGCTTTATCATTTTTACTAAACATTCTTAATTGCTATTGGTTGTAATTCGTGTCTTTATCAATTTTCTTGGCGAAATTAAAGAAAAAAGTTGATCTGTTAGTTGAGGTTGATTGTGGAAACATGCTTGTTTAAATCCAAAATTCAAAACTGTACCCTGCATCTTATAGCATCAATATGATAACGCAGTACCGAGCTCACTTATGTCAAAAATACAAAGATTCAAAGGCAGACATCTCGGTTTTGTAACAAAAACTTGGCTATATAGGATTTGCAGTTATGTAAAGCCACATACTGTAAGCTTATGTAGTTATACATCGTTATACATGTGGTAGACAAAAGAAAACCTGGAACGATGTACGCTTAACTCAGCCCTGAATTTTTTAAAATCCTGGTTTATAAACTGATTGATATATAGATCTATGGGTTATAAATAAGTATTGAATGCGGGTTGATCATACAGAGAAATCAAAATTGACAGAGCAATCAAAATATTGAATGCAGATTGATCTTTGATTTTATTATGTTTTTCATTCAGATTTGGAACTTGATTCAGAAGAAAATGCTGGACTAACAGCTCAGCCAGTCAGAAAAAATATCTCTTTGAAATTGAAAACAAAATCCAAATCCACATCAGCTCTGGGGAAAAGCAAGAAAAAAGAAAGTAAAAGTTCTGACAGGAAAGCAGCTGCACTAGAGGGTGAGTGGTCGATATACTCATAGGAGGCTAAACCTGTAGGAACGAATCTATAATTAAGAGTGTATGTCTGTAAGAATCAAACATATGGTAGGAAGACTCAAATTTCCCAATTTGCTCTACTTTCGCTCCATATTTTGAAAGCGAGAATTGCCCCTGAAGCTCAAATTTTTTCCCCCTTTTTCTCGAAAACAAAAAAGTATCTTTAGAAGCTAACCACACAGCATTTCATTCTGCATCATACACTGCTTAAATCCAAATGTAGAGTAAATTCGAAAACTTGAGCCTTTCTGCAGATTTCAGATTTTGTTTGATTCTTACAGGATTCTTAAGGATTAATTACAGAGATACAGGTATTTACTGACTAATACCACATCTATATAAAATACTTGTTTCTGATTGGTTGGTTAACTTTTTCTTTATCTGTGCTAGTACCCTGTAAGTAATTGCATAGCGTGAGCACAATTAATTAATTGCACATATCCAGAACTTTTTACAGTGTGTTGTTTCAAACTCAAGTACAAATCACCTTTAAGTGATTTGTACTTGTGTTACTCGTTATTTGCTATCATTTTTTTACTTCAGAAATGTGTATTTTATTTAGATGCATTATTACAAGGAAATAATACCTTAGTTCTTGAAGAATTAATGAAATATACCACTTGCATTTGGTAAAAGTGGCAAATGTCGGGTATTTTTCATTAATTCTTCTCTAACTGTGGTATTTTCTATACTTAGAAAATGGTCCAATATTTTTGTATTTTTAGCAGCCTGTTACCATGAAAATTAGCTATGTTTTGAAAGATTTCCTGGCTTTCATAACCTTGTTATTGTTTTGTTATTTTTAGGTGAAAAAGAAGCAAGAAAGAAGCAAAGATCACCAGCTTCATCTGGACCTAAACCACAAGTGAAAGAACTAGAATGGAATCACAAGGTAAAAATAAGATATACTAGATGTCATGGGTGAGATATTGTGATGTTATAAAGTTTGTGGCAGTGTGCACTGCTGGCTTCACACTTGAATTTAAACTGAATAAACTAGAGACATTACTGCGAACTCAACATAAAAGGTACTGACTGATTGTTTTTGATTGACAGCAGCAAAAAACTAAATTTCAGGGTGCAGCTTTGAACTACCGAGTTTGCAGAATGCCGAAAACCACAGTAAATACAGCTAGCATTAGATCCTGGTCATAAATGTAAACCATTGGCTTATACTCATTTTTGAGGGTTTTTAATATGGGCTTATGATCTATGCATATTTGGAATGGAAAAATGTTTGGGATGAATGGAAACAGTTATTTATTATTTTATTTTCCCTTCCCTATCATTTTTTGGAATCATCATTGCCTTGCAAAAGGAAAATGCAAAATGCAAGGTACCAGAAGTGGGATTCTATGGTACTTACTGCAGGCATCTCCTATATACCCTATATTTCCTATAATTTGCATAGGATCCTATAAAGAGCATATATTTAAAGAAAACCTCCTATATTTCCTATAAATAGGACAACTGCTGAGTGATACATTTACATTTTACACTGTTTAGCATATTTATCAAAGGTAATAAAATGGTACTCCTTTTTTCAACAGATTATGATCATTGGTCAAAAAGTTCAAGATCCTCTGCTGCACCTATGTGAAAAGTGTTCACTTCCAATACTTGTTTATGGCAGACTGGTATGTTACATAGCATTGCAGACTAGTTCACCCAAGATGTTTAGCCTACTGCATAATAGGAAGTTTTTTGCCCAGTGTATTTCAAGGCTCACAAAACACGAACATAAGATACTACATAAAGTAAATTTTATGGAATTTGAAGTCTAACAAAGCAATATTTAGACTTGAGCATAAGCTTTCTTACTGGGCCCAGTTGTACGAAGCCAGGATAGCACTATCCAGTGGATAAATCTTTATCCAATGGATAAGTCGATGCTGTTATCCAAAAAAATTATTCATTGGATAAGATTTATCCATTGGATAGCACTATCCAGGCTTCGTACAACCGGGCCATGGTGGTGGTCTTAACTGTCTCAGGCGAACCTGCCACTGGGTGAATCTGCTACTGGGCGAATCTGCCACCGGACAAATCCAACTGGATACCATTATATACTAAATCTGTATTCCAGAGGGGGTTGGGTAGGGACATTATTTTGAGTTCCTCCTGAAAGGTACCCTGCTCTAGTTCATTAAAAAAATTGGGTAAAATGTTTAGTGCTTTTTAATCAACCCTTTATTTTGGGATACAGCAAAAGTATGCCTCTGTCTGCTCATGCCTTTTATGTATCCTGGCTATCTAATTGTTCAATCATTGAGAAAAATTAAAAGTTGTCCTTGATTTACGAAGGTAGCCAGTGGCTAACAAACTTGTGGCCCACGTTCTGTGGTTGGAATTTAGAAATTGATTTTTCTGGAAGGAGGAGGACTTGAAAATCCAGAGAAAAAATTGAAGCAAGGAGAGAACCAACAAACAAAAGCTTTACTCAAGTATGACACTGAATCTGGGAATCATAACTGGGTTGTATTGGTGAGAGGAGAGGAATCTCACCCTATTACTCCTGTGCGTGTGGTAAAGGTTTTGCCATTGGTTATGGAATGCTTTCAGTGTTGTAGGACTTTCATATTGCAGCAATAAGTATTTTTAATTTCATATATTTTTGTTTTTTTAGAGCCCATGTAAGCATTCATTCTGTCTCTCTTGTGCAGAAAAGGGTGCAGGAAAGTGTCCAAGGTGAGTTGAAATAGACCTTTCTTGGACATTAATTCAATAGGCAGTAATTTCATCAAAGCCCGTGTTAAACGAATCTCATATGTTATGGTGTGATCAGATTTGCTGTCAGTACTTTACACGAAAAAAGCTATTTCAACCCTTTCCATCATGTTCTTTTTGCTCAGGTGTGGCGAGGGAGTTCAAAGGATTGAGCGTGCACCACTGGGCAGTGTTTTCGTGTGTTCATTTGGTGGTAGTCGTTACGGTATCTCAGGATGTCGTCGCAGCTATTTTTCTCAAAGGGACCTTCAATCGCACATTAAAAGACGTCATCAGCGTGAGCAAGCGGGAGGGGACAGCGACGGGAACGAGGACGCTGAGACTGAAGTAAATCGCGTAATTTTCCCTCCCGCTGGAGGCGGGGTACCTTTCTTCATGCACCCCCCTCGAGAAAATGCTCCAACTGCTGTTATGCCCCACCCAATAGCTGCGGGGGAAAGACCTTTTAGCAATGTCCCTCTTCCTGGAGCAGTCTCCATGGAAACTAGACACTTTGTACAAACAATCCCACGTGATGCGTTTTATATGGAAGCTCCTCGTCCCCAGCCTCAGCATCCACCAGTCAGTGGGTTTCCTGCACAAGCTCCTCCGCAAGTGGCTGCTGCTCACATTTCTCACGTCCAGCCTGGTGTTTTCACACACCCAGAACAACCTCCTAGATTCGAAGAGATAAGAGCTGAACAAAGAGTATCTCGACCAATCCCAGTACAATCCAACATGGATGACGGGTTTGGACGACGAGGATCAGGGGGACCTGTTCCAGGAGCAGGCTTTCGTTTTCCAGGCCCTGAACCAGAAGCACGACCCGGAAATTGGCAGCCAAGGTCAGAGGGTGAGTGGATGCAGCAAGAAAGACCTCCGGTCAGGAATGAAAGGGAATGGATCCCACCTCCAGGAAGGACTGAAAGAGATTGGGTTCCACCCAGATCTGATGGTAACTGGACTCCACGTGGTCGCGTCCCTCAAGGGGACCCTCATTATAGACCAATGTTTTAGGGAAAAAAAAAGAAAAAAAGAGTGATTGTCAGAGAAAACCGGGCAGAGGCAAAAGATCGGGGTAAACCGATTTGCACCAAATGTTCAGCAATAAAAGACTATCCGATTAGATGACGAACCATGGTAGTTAAAGTTTCGTTGAGCTTTTTTTCCCCGAGATAGACCACCCCCCTCGGTTTTTGATCGTGATCGGCCTTTGCGATGCCAAAATCTAAGGCCAAACTTCAACCTCTCAAAAGTCAATTCTTCTTTATCTCTGCAAGTTTTAATATTTTGTTTGGGAAATTGATCATATGATCGAGAAGTCTTGAGGTTTTGAGTCAAATACGATGAGGTTTTAAATTTTGACCCGGACTTGAACTTTGCATACAAAGCCTGTTCAATTCACGATCTAAAAATTCGTCAACTTTCAAACATATTTTCTCAAAAGTGCGGCAGTTATTTTTTAAGTGAATAACATTTTTCCAAAGCTCTACGTCAGAGCTTTCAGAAATCGTAAAGTTAAAATTGGGATCTAAAATTAAACGAACGCGAGCAGCTTTCAAAGTTGGCAAAAATCGCCTTCTGAATTTGCGTAATTGCAAGTTGCGTAAGTGTTTACTTCCGGTTGACACAAGGCTGCGTTACTGACTCCCGTCTTCGACAATACAAAGCTTAAAATTTGTTTTCAAAAACAATTTCAACTAGAATAACCTTATTTTATCCAAATTAAAGTTATCTAACGAAGAAATCCCAAGTAATACGACTCCGTGAGTATTAAAAGACTGTTTATATAAAGCTAATTTACATAAATTTTACGGCAAGACTACTTTATTTGCATTTTATAAGACATATTTAAAAAAACAGTTTTCTCTCTGGGAACGCATGACTAAGACTTAAATACTACAATAAAAGAAGCAAAAAGGCACAAATTATTGCACAAACATTATGTTCGATTCGTTTTCTCAACGTCGTTTTAATTAATGAATTGTCATGGTTTTCCTTGTAAAGTGTAACGCAATACACTGAAATGATTAGTGCCGTCATGTAGACGTGTCCGATCGCTGTAACCACACATATCAACCAATTTCTAGATCTGAGATTGAAAGGTTGTTAAATTAAGTTGAACTGAAATCCCGATACCGCGAACAGTTATATCTAGAAACTATCTACCATTATATAACTACTCCTCCAACTAGGTGTTCTTGCACGAGCATACAAGTAAGAACTGTTCAATTGGTTCTACGTATGTCCTTTTTCTTTTCTTTGGCCCCTCAGCTTGAATTTCCAGGCTTTCGCAAATGGTTTGCAGATCAACTATCTGGAGGYTATTCAGTTTCCCTTCATAGGACAACTGACACAAATTTCTTTTTCCAGCTGTAACAGGATGACTGGGGACATTCATGTCTTGAAAAACAGCATTTCTAAGGCTTTCTAATGACTCCTCGGCTTCTAGAGCTTCTATGTCCTCATCTGATAGCTCGATTTCCTCATCGCTCGGATTCATTTGCTGTTGTTTCCGCTTGGCTGACAGACGCGAGAAAAAACTCTTTATTTGCTGTGCTGTCCTCCATTCCTGTGGCTTGAAAAGAGGCTTTCCATTTCTGTCTTTTACTTCTTTCATTTCCCTTGAAACTTGAGAGGGATCTACTTTCAGGCCCGTTGCCACACCTGAATCAAACTGTTCGATAAGAAATAATTTGGCTTTCTTTCCTAATTGTTTCCATGTCCTCGTGCTCTTTAATGCCCATCCAATAGCCRTTTCATTTTCTTCGATCTTTGAGTGCTCTTGTTCTTGGTTGGATCGTGGGACACTSTCTGCTGTTGTCCCTACAAATTTTACACCAGTCACTTTCTCAGCCCATGTTTTCCTTACTGAGYCATACATGGAYTCCTTCTCAGTTGTTCTCACGTGCTTTCCAGTGTCCATATGTGCTTCTGCTTCATCTCTAGTCTTGAAAGTCAAAATGCAATCAGTCTCACTGCATGAGTAGATGTCGTGCTTGATCACAGGGTTTTCGGCATGCCGTGCAGCTACTAAACCAAGTTCTCTCGTGCGGGAGCTAAATGGCTGGACAATTTCTAAGCCAGTTTCCTGTTGGGCCTGAACTTGAAGCTCCTTGTACTTGATCAGASGTCCTGGTCCGATGTTAAAACTTCGCCAGGCTCGTATCCCATGTTTTTCGTAAGAAAAATTGTTCAAAAGACTTATTCCTGGTATCTTGTCATCTTTACCATTATCTCTCAAAGGATTTACTTTGGCTACAGCAACTCGACATCCTTTGAGGCCACCATGTGACTCGAGAGCTTCTTTCATATTCTCGGCTGAAGTAACATCATGCTTTTCGTTTACCCACCTTCTGATATGAGCTTTCATTGGGGCAATTTTGCGGTTGCAGATGTCCTTTCCTGCTTGAGGATCTGAAAAGTCGTATCTCAAAGGCGTAATACCAGTTCTCTTGCCAATGTATGGTAGGCTTAGTAGAAGAAGGCCATTGTGGTAGCATGAAGCATTATCTGAGCGCATGTAGGCTTTCTTGATGGAAGGATAATCTTGTCTGACAGCATGAAACAGGTTTTCGACAATAGATGTTACTGAAAAGGCATCTTGAACACAAACATTAAAGAGATGTACATAGCACTCAACGTGGTATGCTCCGTCCTGTTTGGTGATTACAGCAGAGACGTGCCAACTTCTCCCTTTCTTGCCGAAGAAGTCGCTCATGCGCTCTCGATAACGCTGGGGTAGGAACTTCATAGCCCAGTCCATAACGATTAGGCAAACGTCATCAGTGAGGTTGGATAGGGCTTGTTGCTTTGCTTGGTCTTGATTGATGAGTCGCAGTAAATGTGATTTCCAGGCATTGATAGAACGAATACATTCTGCAACTTCAAACCYCTTGATTGCTCGCTGTTCTTCAGTATATGTAATCTCGACAGCCTCGATTTTTTCAGTGATATCTTGAAGAACGCTTTTTAGGGATTCACATCTTTCGCATAATACATCATGGTTGTGTTGACAATCACTTGACAAAGCAACAACGTTTGGGTYGCTGAGGGCATATTTGATGCAATGGTCTTTACAGTGCTCGTTACTGCTAACATGTGACTTATAGTCAGCCTTTAAATACCTTCTCCCTTCTACCAGTTGTTTTTGAGCTACTTTACCCCATTGCTCACCAGCTCCGTTTTCCACGAGGGAATCTACTACTTTCATCACGTTATCAAAAGCCTCAGTCCCTTCTGCAGTCAGGTTGTCTAGTCCTTGAAGAGACTTTTGCATGGATGCAGAACATACTTGAAGCATTCTCCATAGCGATCGATCACTAGCTGGCTGGAACTGATGGAACACGCAGTAGCTTTTGTACTGAGAAATAATTCGTGATGGTATCATCRTTCTGATGACCGCCGGAATCAAAATATTTTCTCCTGAGTCGAGCTTCATAGTTTTGGTACCAAAAGCAACATCTTGTAAGAATTCTGGTTGGGATATGTACTCTATAAAATGGTCTACCTTTGCTTGTTCGATTCTTTGGCGAAAGAGAGGTTGAGTAGACACAGTCTGACCTTTCCCTGTCTCGATGCCATGTATACGTGCCTGGTCGATTTTCCACTTTGACAGTCCAGATATTAATTCTTGAAGTTCAGTTTTTGTAAAATCGTTAGCAAAAAGAGACAGAATTTGTCTTTTGATTTGCCATGACGCTGCTTGGTTGTATGCTTTCACAAGAACATTCACCAACCCTTCGGTTCCATCAAAGTGAAGCCTATTAGCACTACCAGTTGGTTCGATTCCAGGTAAAGTTCCTCGTTTGATTGACTCCCACAAYTTGTGTTCTTGGCCAGGGCTGAAAGTTGTCAGCGCAGTTGATATCATCTCCTTTGCTTTTCTTGAATAATATTTTTGTTGGGTAATGGAGATGTCATCCCAAGAAGTATTTAACGTTGATAATACAGGACTAATGCGACCACTGCTCATCTCGTTGATCGCTTCATTCAAGGTGTGTCGTTTCTGCTGTTGTAGCTCCATTTCATCTTCCCATATGCTGACTTCCTGGTCAGGTACAGTACTCTGTGATGACTGCGACGATGTTGTTTCAGTCTCATACTGAACTTGCGGAGATGGGGAACTTGGTTCATACTGAACATGCGCAGATGAGGTACTTGGTTCATACTGAACATGCGCAGATGAGGTACTTGGTTCATACTGAACATGCGCAGATGAGATACTACTTGGTTCACACTGAACACGCGCAGATGAGGTACTTGGTTCGCAGAGGTTATCAGACTCCAAGGATGATAAATGAAATGGTGCTTCATGCTCTTCTTCACGAAATACCTGTCAAATGCATATGGGAACGATTGAACTAAAGTGCACAGGAAAAACAGAGCGAAGTCTAGYGAAAGAAACGGTATAAAAGGGAAAAGCAGTGCATGGAATCACTGGCAAAGAAAACGTAACCAACAGTCAGGTGATCTAGCGATACATTTGTGACAGAAAAGATTAAAGTATGAAATATACAGCCTACCATGCACTTCCCCTTCCGCTATCAATGTCAAAGRTGTCTATGTTAACCTGTACCCAAACTTTCGTGTTAAGTTCAATGTGGCCATCTAATCAAGGGATGGTTTAAATGTTTTTATGAGCTTGAATATGAAAACAAAGTACTCACTACTTTAATTCCTTCCTGAATTTCTTTGCCACGCCTTTCATAATGCATATGTCGGCAGGTTTCGCAAATGGTTGCAGAAAAAAAAGTAATGGCAAAGAAAGCAATATTAAGCCTTTGAAACATCATTCGAGACAGATAAAATTGGAGGGAGGGATTGAAAATGAAAACGAATCTTTAAAAAAAGAATGAAAAAATATAATAAACTCAAAATTTAGCGTTTGTCAAGGGAAAAAAAACAAAAATCAGAATGAAAATTAGAATGAGAATGAGAATTACACTGGACGACAATGAAAATGCAAAAAGAAAAAAAAAAAAAAAAAAAAAAAAAAA